TATACAAAGTCCTAATCCTCAACAAATCAAATAATTTCATTTAAGTGGGATTAGATGGTTTTATTAACATATTCTGTTTGAGTTCACTAAAGATGTTTTGCAGGTTCACATATAAAAAGATGAAGGCAGCACACACGCACGTGCACACAAAGACATTCTGGTGATGTCCCACTCCATTTATCTCACTTCCTCCAAACACACACACCTCGTGTTTTTAAGCCATGACAGGCTCCGAGGCTCCGAGGGAGGCTCTTATTTGTTACCATGGAGACTCAAACCCTGAAAAGCCCAATATAAAGCCGAGAAGTCTCACTACACCCATACTGTTTATAAGCCATTAAATATGTAATACCATCTCGCTATCAGTAAGAGAGTTATTTAATTTCCAGCGTTACGTGAAACAAGCAAAGTTAAATCGCTGGAGAGGAAAGTGAAACGGCTGCACAAATGTTGTGGATGCAGAAGTTCTTCTGCTCGTTGCCTTTCTCTCTCTCATGTTTCACCAGTTTGAACATAAAATCAGCCCGTTATGTTGAACAGGAAGACTGAGCACATTGACACACGACGTTGGAGCACGCCCCAAGCAGACAGAAGAAAGTCTGCGGAGACGTAAAACGACGTTCAAACATCAGCGATCAGCTCATTGATTCGCAGCCTTTAAATCTCGGCTGTGGGGAGTGCAACACGTGCTAATTCTCAGCTAAACAAGGGGTACCCCCGATGTCCCCCATCGCTGAGGGATTTGAATAGTGATGAGGGTTTTTCTGGACTGGAATTGAACAGGGAATGCAAATAAACCTAAATGTTTTTGGTGCAAGAGATTCATGTAAGTAGGAGATGCATTGGGTATAAAACAGAGGAAGGGTATTTTTTGCTTGTCCAAGGTGGTGCAGAATCACACATCTTGTCGAGAGGAGGGAGCAACTTTATTCACCACCAGGTGCAATGGAGGAGCCGGGGGGTGGCCAATGGTGGCCTTGACCACCATTGATTTATTTTCAGCCACCCAAATTATTTGAGGAAACTTTACTTGTAAACAATGTTTGATAAAATTTGCTAAACAGCAGCTAAAAAAAAAAAACTACAAGCAAAAATGTACCTAAAAGTTAAATTAGCTAATTAGTAGCTAAGAACAAAAACATGATCAAATGATAAAATTAGCTAAAATCAGGGCCAAAATCTAAATATAGCAAAACCATATCAAAAACATAAAATTAGCAAAACTGTAACTAAATACTAAAATGAGCTCAGTCATAACTAAATAGGTAAAACCAGTAACATGGTGGCTAAAAGCTAAAAAATTTGCCAAATTGAAGCTAAAAGGAGAGTGGTGGCGCAGAGGTTAGAAAAAATGGACCTGGGATCAGAAGATCGCTGGTTCAACTCACCAGACCGACAACATCAAAATGTGGGTGGAAAAGGTGAAACATCCACACCTGCCTCCGCCCTCATTTGCCCCACTCTGGCCCTTAACCCCCACCATCTGCTCCCAAACAGGTCTCTCTTGAAAATGAGTCCTTGTGACTCAATAAAGGTTGAATAAAAATTAACTAAATTCTAGAAAGTATAGTAATGGAGTGGTCAGTTTACACTCACACACTCACTCACTCTCACTCACTATTCTCTCTCTCACTCTCTCTCACACTCATGCTCTGTCTCTTGCTCTCTCACTATCTCTCACTCGCTCTCTCGCTCACGTCTTCTCTTGCTCTCATTTTCTCCCTCACTCCCGCTCTCTCTCACTCGCTCCCTCTCTTGCTCTCTCTCGCTTTCTTGCTCACTCCCTCGCTGGCTCACGTTCTCTCTCTCGCTCCCGCTCTCTCAGTCTTTTGCTCGCTCCCTTGCTCTCTCTTTCTCTCGCTCGCTCCCTCTCTCTATCTCACTCTCTCGCTCGCTCCCTCTCACTCGCTACCTCTCTCGCGCTCTCTTGCACTGACCAACAGTCCCATTTTCGCTCCACGGTGGGGGGAACAACTACGTGAGGTAGAAGGTGCCAAAAGTTGCTTCTTTATATGACTGATTGGAGATATTGGCTTCAAACCTGCAGTGATGCACCTTAGAAATTCACACACAAAAACTAAAAATAAACCTCAGTATATTAAATATGTTTAAACTGTCACCTCCACAGATGCGTGCTGGATTTAAACTTCAACAGATGTTTCACTGGATGAGTTTCATTTTGTCAAACTGAATTGAAATTAATTTAATTTTGGATTTTTGAATGAGGCAGCACGGTGGCGCAACTGGTAGAGCTGCTGCCTCTCAGCGAGCAGGTCCTTGGTCCAAACCCCGGTACAGGGGCCTTTCTGGGTGGAGTTTGCATGTTCTCTCTGTGCATGCGTGGGATTTCTCCGGGTACTCCGGTTTCCTCCCACAGACCAAAAACATGCATGTTAGGCTGATTGGTAACTCTAAATTGTCCCTAGGTGTGAGTGAGAGAGTGAATGGTTGTTTGTCTCGTTTGTCTCTATGTGTCCCTGTGATGGACTTGCGACCCGTCCAGGGTGTACCCCGCCCTTAGCACAGTGATTGCTGGACATGGGCACCAGCGACCCCCGTGACCCAAAAATGGAATAAGCGGGTAAAGATAATGGATGGATGGATGGATGGATGGATCTTTGAATGAATTTAATTGCTTAAATGGAATGAAATCAAAACTTTGACACAGAAATACAGTGTTGTAAACAGTCACACTTTTAAACAACATAACAATTTTCACAGAATAACTAAAGATTTATTCCTAAGAAGCTTTCTGACAGCCCGTCATTAAATGCACATACGAGCTAAAATACTTTTATTTCTGAGTCTTTGTTTTTTCTGTGATTACCGTGGTTTGCCTCGCTTGTATTTTTTTGTTGATGAATCCATGAACAAACATTCTGCTGACAGTGAAACACTTAATGCTGGTAACCTAAATGATTTCATCACAGACGTCTCTTTCGTTTGTTAATTTGTGGCACATTTTTCCATTTTTCCTCTATGCAGAGCTTGCATTTCTAGGTTTTACTCCAATTTTCTCCCAGAACTCCCTCAAACTTTCCTCCCACGCCTCATCTTTTTTATGACCATCTCCAGAACTTGTAAAGCTCCATTTTTATTTGTTTGCCCTTTAGCAGCGGTCTCCAATCCTGGTCCTCAAGGGCCACCATCTTGCATGTTTTAGATGTTTCTCTGCTCTATCGTGACTGATTTGAATCAATGGATGAACAAAAGGTTTCTGCAGAACATGGATGTAATTCAACCATTGAACCAGGTGTGTTGGAGCAGGAAAACAAGTAAAACCTGCAGGATTGTGGTCCTGGTTCTTAAACTGTAGCTGATCAGACTTTGACCAGGACTGTTTAAAAAGTATTAAACATCAACGGCTTTTAGGTAGAAAATGCTATAAATCACAGTGAGACGTGTGCCTAAATAATAATGGGTTTAATTTAAAATCGTAATATTTTACTTTTAATGGCAAATAATTAAAATATATCAAATTGCTCATTACATCAGTCATAACCAGCACAACGCACCAAACAGGCTGGGATTAAAATACAGCCTAACAACATGTATATCAGCATATCCTTTATTTTTTGTCCTTTTCATGTCTGTATCCAGCAGGTGTGCGTGGTGGTGAGCAGGACAAAGGAGAAGCAGCAGCAGAATCAATAGTCTGAGAACCCAGTAAATGTTTCCCTCTGTGTGTGACACTTTCATCGATTCGCTCTCAAACGAGTCAAAGGTGTTGGAACAACAGCGACACAGCACTCATGTCACGCAAACCAAAAGGGACTAAACTGCGTTAGATACATTCATTTACCAAAGCTGTGATCATAGAGAGAGAGCAAAAAACTGAAGCCTTGTCAACCTTTTTCCATCAAACACCCAAAAGTACTCTGTCTTCTCTGCTTAACCCTAACGCTCGTGTGTTTTTTCCTCAACTCTGTGCGTCAAATCCCTTCCTTGGCGACAGGAGATCTCGGCAAAGGCCTCCTGTGATTCCACCAGCCGACAAATCAAAGCCAAATGCATCGGGGGGTGGGGGGTGGGGGGGGGGCTTTAAGGGGAAAAAGTGAGTCAGACGTTTAACCTTAGGTGTGCTCCAGTTAGTCCTTTTATTAACCTCGGAGCGTGCTGTGAGCTCCGTTGTTATTTAGACCTGCGTGCTTCAATAATACAGGGTGGGGCTCACAAAAACTGGCTGCTTGAGTCCACTCTGAACTACCAGAAGCTCAGAGGAAACTGGATCCATCACCTCAAACTGTCAAGGTGTTTGTGCCCCTTATGTCAGGTGACCCTGTTGTGGTGGTTGTTCGGCACAGCTGGGTGAATGAATGTGAGGAAGAGTTGGTGGCTGGTTCCAGGGACCAGAGACCTGCAGCTAAAAGCTGCCAAATCACATTAAACTTACAGAGTGACACGAGTGAGAGGAGCTCCGATCTGAGCTGTGCTAACCTGTGGGTGAGGAGAGTGGGAAATAGTTTTGGTATATCAGACAAGTTCAAAATAAAATATGATAGCAAATTTAACACATCAAGGCTTTTTCCATTCGAAGTGTTTTTGACGTGATGGTTTGGGGAGTTTTGATTATTTTTCCTGATTTTTAGTTCTGTAAATCACTGCTTTTCGTTATGTTTCAGCTGACTGTTTATAGTTTTCTGTTCCTTGTCTGTTTTGTTACCTGTTCTGTTTAACAGTCTGTTTTTTTTTCTTTCCATTTTTGTGCTCATAGTTTCCCCTCACCCCTGTCTTGCCTTGTTACTGACATGTCAACATTTGCACCTGCTCCCATTTACTAATCCCCAGTACTTGTACTCGTGTTTTTCCTCACGTTTCAAGTCCTTACACCTCACCTCCCTGTTCTGCATCAGATAAACATCTCATGATATAAGATGCTCACATGCAAATACGAACTGTTTCAGCATGTGACAAGCTCAATAAATCTGAGCATTTTCATGAGTTTCTGTGTAAGGTCTGTGTGTGACTGATGCAAGGTTGAGTCAGCTGGGTCGACTCACTGATCTCCAGCTGCCTCTGAATGCGTCCTTTGCAGCGCTCTCTGTAGTCCGACTGGGTGGCGTTGTATTCTGACATCACCTCCACAAACTTGCGAGACAGTGTGGAGTGCTGGAGACACAACGAGGAGCAACAAAACAAAACCTGACATCGGACTGATGAACGGCAACAGTAGACTGCTATTCATAAAGTGTGCGTTTGTCTGTCTGTTAGCGAAATATCTCATGAACCAGTTGATGGATTTTAACAAAACACTCAGAAAATGATCACTGGATGTATCTCTACAACTCACTAACTTTTGGAGTCAACCCAGTTCAAGATGGCTGCCACAGCTAATGAAACTTAGCAAACACAAAAATGACTATAACTTAGTTAATTTTACAGATATTTTGCTGAAATTTGGTGTGGTAGTAGCTGAGAGTAATCCCCAACACAAAAATAATGTGCTAAAAGACTCCAAGATTTAAAACTTTTGCATTCAAGGCAGCTGGAGATATGCAAACATGGTTGACTCCTAAAGTTAAAATCAAAGCTTAAAAAAAGACCTTGTACTCTCAGCTACTAAATTACTAAATTGTAGCTTCACATGTGTCAAACTGACTGCATTATGGCTATTTTTGTGTCTGATAGGATTATCGTAATTATCTGTGGCAGCCATCTTGAATTGGGTCGACTCTAAAAGTGAATCAGTTGCACATCCAGTGATTACTTTCTGAAAGTTTCACTAAAATTTGTCAACTCATTCATAAGATATTTTGCTAACATGCAAACAAACAAATACATGATCTCACATCTTTCATGATCATATAGTAGCGTATTTTCCGGCGTATAAGTTGCTAGGCCTGTCACGATAACAGATTTTGCTGGGTGATTAATTGTCTCAGAAATTATTGCGATAAATGATAATATTGTTAGAAATTTGACAATAATTAGTAATTATTGTCAAATTTAAGAAGAAATTTTTAATTTGTTTTGCATGTAGTACCTTTTTTCAACCACCGGATGACAGTATATGATTGTTTGAATCGAAGGATGGATAGTGAGGGAGCCAACAGCGTGTCTATTTAAGAAAAATGGGAGGGAGGCCTCTTGACGTGACATGGTTTTCAAAATGGCGGACGCTCAGTGTGGTTTGAGCTCTTTAGCATAGCATTTTTCACACTAAGCTTTTAATTTAAAAAAAAAATCAGTAAACAAGTTCTCAGCTTCTTTTTGCAAAGAAAAACTTTACATGAAGGCACGAGTTTCAACTGTGAAATGAAAATGAGGTAGATAATTTTCATCAGCCAATTAATTGATTTATTGTTTATTGTGACAGGCCTATAAGTTGCATGTTTTTGCATAAATTTGTAAGTCCTGCGACTTTTATAATGAAGCAATTAATATACATTTTTTAATCCATATTCATAACGCAATTTTTTGACTGACGCTTGATGTTCGATGTTCAATGTTTTATGTTATGAGTGCTTAGTGTATATTTAGTTGATGTTTTTCTTAGTTCATATCTTAGATGTTATTACTGTTTTTCTTATACATTTTATTGTTGGATGTAACTGGGACCCTGTGTACATAATTTCGCTCCACCACATGTACCACATGAGGTGCGAATGACAATAAAGAAACTGACTCTGACTCTGAAATGTTCATTCAGACATGAATCTGTAAACATTACCAGTTGCAGCCGCTAGAGGGCCCTCTAGGCTTTTATATGTTGTTCCTCTACCCTGCTACTACTTAACACAAGTAAAATGCCCCCAAACAGAAAATCCTATTTTGCAGATTATAAACTGCAGGTAATAAAATATTCAGCCCAAAACAGTAATCAAACAGCAGAAAGAAGTTCGTAAACAGGTGGGGTCCGTGCAGTCTGTCCGGGGGATTCAACCCGGTGGAAGGGACAGTCGCACAGCGGCAGAGGATCCCCCTCGCGGGAACATTCCCCAGTGTCTGGCTGGCTCCCGCCGTTCGCATTTCCTCCACGGCGGTGCGCCACCCAGCCATCCACCCATCAATCTATCCATCCATCCATCGCGGCTCCAGCTGCAAGCTCTCCAGCCTTCCTCCGCTGCATAACCTGGGAGGAAGGGGGCAGCGAAGCGCGTGTTCTGGGCCCTGGGAAGCAGCGATGTGTGGGCGGAGGAAGGCTCCAGAGCTCACAGCCCGAGTCTTCGTCCCCGCTTCGCCGCCGGAGCAGGAAAGAACACCAGCGCCCAGGCAAAATGAAGCTGTTTTGACCATTGCAGTACATTTATTAAGAAAAAGTTCAACTGAGACACACCTTTGCTATAATGTCGAGCAAACAAATAATTGTTTTTAGGTGTTAATTTTATTAAATTCTTATGTCCTCCCGTGCGTGCCCCCACGGCCGCCATTTGGCAGGCAATTGATTTTTGGCACAAGACTGGCCCATATTTCCCGGAGGTCAGCGGTGACACATAATAAATGCGACTTATGCAGCAAAGCGACTTATTTATGTTTTTTTTCCTACTTTATTAGACATTTTTGGACTGATGCGACTTATACGCCGGAGCGACTTGTACGGTGGAAAATACGGTAAATTTTCTGCTCAATACAACTTGACCAAAAACACATATTACATGTAAACACTGTGCATTTTAACTGTAAAAGTCCTAAAACAGTGATTTAATTGCTGTGTAATCTTTAGCGGTGACACAAGTAGTACTTACTGCTCTGACTGTACCTGTGTTTTACGTATCCTCAGGTCAGCTGAGGACCGGTTCTGACTCTCTTCCTGCTCAATGGTTTGCTGGACACCTGAAGAGAAAAACAAACTTCATGTGAGAACTTGTCACACAAAGTAGCAACAAGAACGACAAAATAAGTTGTATGAAGTTATGATTTGTTTCTATAGTGTGCCCAGTCATTCTCATCAACAATCTGATAAATAATGAACAGCTCGCACTCAGCTTCATTTACTAATACGACATTTTGTTCTGCGACATGAGGTACAGAAAACATCCAGGAGTTGTCACAAAAAAACACCACCTATGAAAAAATCTTCAAAATTTATGCATTTGACTCAATCAGCTACTGTCACTCCAAGTTTTAGCTCAATATCTGTAAAATTAACGGAAGTATAGTCATTTATGTTTGCCATTAGCTGTGGCAGCCATCTTGAATCAGGTTGACTCCAAAAGTTAATCAGTCGTAGATGTAAATGCAATGATCAATATAGAAGAGTCTCATTAAAATACATCCAGTGGCTCATGACATTTTTTTATTTTACTAACAGACAGACTGATTTTTTAGAAATACAGCTCAGGAAAGCCTCTCATTCTTTATGCTGAATGTAGTTCATTTGCGAGTCACTTGATGCAGTTAACAGTTACTGGATAACAGCGAGCTGCACGTCCACCTGTCTGTGATTTAAACCTCTGAGATGAGACGACTTCCTGAATATTCAAAGACAAGTTGAACAGAGAGATTTAATGGCACCACTGTTTTTTTTTCATTCAACCTTTATTTAGACAGGTAATCCCATTGAGCCTCGAGGACTCATTTACAAGAGAGACCTGATTTCAACAAAAATATACTTTTACTTCAGTTTTACTTCAGTACCACAGCTCATTAATAAGCACATGGCATCAACTCCAACATCATATTTATTCAGAATGTTCAACATGACTTCAGGACTTCTAAAAAATATGACTTTTTTTTGCAACAGCGACAACAACGTATATCTCTGTCATGAAAAATGTCTTTCATAACAATAACTCCTCTCCCCGAGCAGACATCAAATGGAAAACTGATTCTTCTTCTAAAAAGAACAAAACAAACAAAGTTATTGTTTGATTTATTTCAATATATTCTGAGATTTATTTAGACTTTCTGCCACAGAATGAATGTTGCTCATCAGACTCTGGTGAAATGATTTAAAACCCAGTGAGTTTATAGTTCTGTCCACATTGTAGAAAAACATAATTGGCTTCTTTGACTTTATTTATGTTTTTGTGTCTATTTAACTGTGTTCAACTAAACGTGGCCCTCCGATGGCAGACTGACACATTTATATCTGAACATCAAAGGAACCATTGTAAGGGACAGTTCAGACAAGCAGGCAATACCTTACCCGTTTGTAGATAGAGCTTTGAACAACCTGAATCTTAAGAAACAACAGTTTTATTTTCATCATATTGGGATTGTGATTGGATGTGGATGTTTTTGTTCAGTGCCCTGTGATAACTTCTGTTGTGATTTGGCGCTATATAAATACTAAGGTAGCTGGTCAGCTACAGCCGATTTGATAACTGATAACTTCACCATAAAATTAAAATAAACCATATTGTACTGTCTTTTTCATAAAATCTGAGCTGTTAGCAGTAATCCACATGACAGAAAATTGGAAAAACCCTACAAAGGTATTTCTTGTAATAAAAAAAACTTACTAAATAAAACAAAACCAAGGCGTGCGTGCTTCAATCAATTTAGACAATGCTAAGTAAAAAGCAGCGCAGGACTGACTCTCCCAGTGTGAACATTTAAATTAAATAAAACATTGCACAGTCAGGGGGCTGAGTGATGCATGATATCTGGGATCTCGACAAAATACACAAATGGTCTTGCCACAGCGCTTTCAAAGTACCAGTTACATGATACAACTGCTTGCCATAATGAACCTACCGCTGCTATCGACTGCAGCTGGAGGGAGATCACCTGTGACTGATGGAGTTGTTGTTCTTTAAATGCATTAGTGAAAAATGTCTGTACTCTGTCTATTACTGATGCATTCCTGAAAGCATTAATTTAGCATTCTTTATGTCACTGTCAATTTTACATTTAACTGTAATTTACCGAGAATACTGCTTTTATTTGCAAGTCTAAATAGAGGCAGCAACAGTAGCTCTTCTGGTGTAGCTTGTGGCACTTCCTAGAAAGATGTAATAAGATTTACAATTTAAATAAGTCTTATAAGATATAAAGAAATAAACAAGGATTAAATGAACGACTATAACAGTTTGGAGATTGGAGTTGTTTCACGACAGCAATTCTCGTCTGCCTTTGCCTCACTCAGACTAGACATCAGCATCATCAAAAAAGACTATTTCTTCAGACTGAAGTTGTCTAAAAAGATATCTACAGCAGGTAAGATATTAACTGTTTATAACCTTTGCACAAAACCCCATTTCAGAAGGCCTGAACTATTTCTTTAATAGAGTGATTTAAAAAGAAATCTAACCTTGGGCCAACTATAGAAAAATTCACTGAAAAAAAAATATATATATCAAAAGTCTTGTTGTCTTAACTTGACTTATTTATTTATTCAGACTCAAATGATGGATTTGTACATCTGTTTCTAAAAATGAATCAATTATAACCTACATTTCATACCATAACTTACATTTTAATACGTTACCTCTTAAAGACTGCTCAGATTTCAACAACGATGCACACAGTGTGTTTGGGCTGACAGCATTTGTGTTAAGTTTGTGTAACACTGTGCATACGTCCACAGCATGTGTGTATGTGTCTCAAAGCTGCAGGTATGCAGGACAAAGGATGAGTCAACTGTCCTCTCTCTGTCTGCACTGAAGTAGCTCTACTTCCATGCAAGATAATGACATTTTATCTTTTAACCTTATTCTTCAACACCTGAGCCTCAAACAGAAGAGCAGACAAGTGTTTTTTAGAGCAGAGCAAATTACTTTTTTGATGGACACCGAAGTTATCAAATACACACGAAGTACACAAGAAATGATAAAAGTGGACAAAAACACTTCTAGTGGGAACTAACATTGAAATGATAGAATCAAATAAAATTATAGCTTTTTTGTTGCTATTTCTAAGGTAGTTGTAGCCACCATTTTGAAGTTAATCAGTTGTAGATGTACATCCCTTGAAAATGTCCTAAAATGTTTAATTAAAAATCCATATCCAGTGGTTTTGCTAACAGACAGACACTTGAACATACAAAGACACACACAGGTAAAACCATTATAACCAGCTTTGCTTTTCTGTGGCCAACGATAAAGACTAAAGCCTGCTCACACACAAACAGAAAACAAACAAGCAAAGCCTCTGCTGATCCATGACAGATGTGTAGTATCAGAAGAATACTTGGCATTAAACCAGGTCTCCTCTCCTGGGTGTCCATCAGGACTATGACAAACTGCATGTATACAGTGCCTTGCGAAAGTATTCGGCCCCCTTGAACTTTTCAATCTTTTGCCACATTTCAGGCGTCAAACAAAAAGATATATAATTTTAATTTTTTGTGAAGAATCAACAACAAGTGGGACACAATCGTGAAGTGGAATGAAATTTATTGGATGTGTCAAACTTTTGTAACAAATAAAAAACTGAAAAGTGGGGCGTGCAATATTATTCGGCCTCTTTACTTTCAGTGCAGCAAACTCACTCCAGAAGTTCAGTGAAGATCTACGAATGATCCAATGTTGTTCCAAATGACTGATGATAAATAGAATCCACTTGTGTGTAATCAAGTCTCTGTATAAATGCACCTGCTCTGTGATAGTCTCAGGGTTCTGTTCAAAGTGCAGAGAGCATCATGAAGACCAAGGAACACACCAGGCAGGTCCGAGATACTGTTGTGGAGAAGTTTAAAACTGGATTAGGATACAAAAAGATTTCCCAAGCTTTAAACATCCCAAGGAGCACTGTGCAAGCAATCATATTGAAATGGAAGGAGTATCAGACCACTGCAAATCTACCAAGACCCGGCCGTCCCTCTAAACTTTCATCTCGAACAAGGAGAAGACTGATCAGAGATGCAGTCAAGAGGCCTGATATAGAAATTATTATTTTAATGCTTTTATGTCAATCTAGACCTA